TTTTTTTTTTTAAATCCAAAAATCAAATACATAGGAAACTTTTTAAAAGAAAAATAAAACTTTTAAGAAAATAACCATTTAATCTATTTTCAATTGATTATATTTCTATTGAGCATGGTTATGAAATAGTATGTATCATAGGACAACCATTGGGAGTAAAGGGTCACCAAGCTTTAACAAACCAACCAAACCGTAATAAAGCTTAAAACTACCCGGTATATACATATACTAACAACAACAACAAAAACTGCAATAAAGCTTTTAAGAGGCTTAGGATTACACAAAATGTAAATTCAAATCACACGCCTTCATCAGTACAACAAAAAAACATACCCATTAATTCAATTATACAGAAGGAATATATATATAATATCCAACCCATACCTAAAAATGATAGAAAAGATTGATCTATAAACAAATAAGAATGTGAAATAATAAAATAAAATCTGACCGTTTTATTGGTGGAGTCTGTTTCATTTGTCACTGGAACTTGAGGTTGTTGATCATGTAGAACATTGAACAGCTGCTGTGTCTGATCTTTTAATATCTGGGGGTGTGAGGTTATAGAAATAAGAAATCATTAGCGCTCTAGTTAGTGGACCTACCATAATAACAGCAAACGAAAAGATCATGTATACACATTTGCTATTTTTTAAAGCTGTTTTTGTGTGTGTTGTATTTCGCTTCATGTTCAATTATTTGTAAAATAAAAAATGCTATACAGATTTACATTTTATTTGCCTGTTTTATTTCCAAGTATATATAACTAGTTCTCAAGTTCTAATTTATATACTCTGTAGGCCTAATTTACAAAGTAATTGTTCCAACCACTAACTTTAAAAAATTAATTAAAATATCATTTGATTTTGATTACATTACAATCGAGAAGCTTACACTTAAACTTAAATTATTTTTCAAACCACACAGGACTTGACTTTATGCCAGAGCCAAATGAAAAGTCGTATTAAGCTGTCATTAAATCAGTTATAAATAATGATAGTGCTAGTACTGCAAGTCCAAGTATAATTATAATACTCTAATAATTAGTAATTAAAATTAGTCTACCAAATTTAATCCTTGTTTTAATATTAAAGACGTAGGCTTAGTAGGCCTAGTCCTAAGCCTAAGCTAAATGTAAATTCAAAATTATAAATATAGGGCGCCTATATTTAGGCCCATATAATGACACTTATTGGTAGCATAATCATATTATGAGCATTCATATGATTCATGATCTATCAGTAAGCGTAGGCCTAATCAAGCCTAACCATGCCATATGATATAATTGGTAATAATCTTTCTCTCAGTAGGTCAGTAGGCTTTGCTTAAGTTAGGTACTTTGACACACAATTTAAATATGGTCCGATTGTCATGAATCATACATCATTTTAAAGGGATAGCTATAAGCTTTACAACAACACCAATTTTATCTTTCTATCTTTTATAGAAGTGGAGTTATGATTTTTTTGGTGATTTTTTAAAACCCCCTTCTTTATCTTAGTATTTAACTGAAAAAAACGTGTGACCCACTTTCCAAATTTCTGCCTTATTTTGCCAAAAACTTTTAGATTTTAAAATATAATGCTACCAAGTTTTCAAGAGACATTCTCAATGCAATATACAACACAATAAACAACAAAACTTTTATATAACATCAAGACTTTTATTTTTTAATATATTTATTTGTGGGTATGTTCAGAAAAAATGGGAAAATCATTATTTATACAGGAAAAAATGAAAAAATAACATGTTTATTGAATTTTAACTAATTTTATTATGCTTGTGTTCAATTTTAAATCAATTATTATATTTATAAAAAGGTAAGTAGTCTTTTTTATATATAAAATTGAACTCATGTAATTATAAATTTTAAAAAATTATCCATAATGATGAGACTTATTTATTAAAAAATATTATTTGATATATTAAATAATTGTCTTTTCTATGTTCTAATAAAATATATTTACTTCGATGATGTTGTTTGAGTATTGTTTATTAATTTGATGTATATTATTAGTAAGTGTGGTTGTTAATAGAATTAGATTAAGCTTAGGCCTAAATAGACTATTATAGGATTCTAATAACAGTTGTTTATAATTATAACTGATATTGATATGTATATTGATATGTAGGCCTATTTAATTTAGTAA